CTGTGGAATCAATCCTCAGCCAGACGGGAGCGACAGACAAAAGGAAGAACCTCATTCGACACCAAGTGTCCTCCCTCCTCATGGCTCATAGGCCGCGCGACGTGCTTTCCAAGGTCGAGCGCGATGCACTTAAGGAACTCAGGGCAGACAACGACCTCGTTATCGTGCCTGCGGACAGGGGACGTTCAACTGTCGTATTGGACAGGACAGACTACAATCAAAAAGCCAAAAGCTCATTGGAAGGTCGTCAGTCCTATGTCCCATGCGAATCCAACCCCATGAAAACGCTGACACGCGAGATTAACGCGACGATGTTGGCAATGGAGAACTCAAGTGCAATATCTCCAATCGACCGACGCATGGCGAGAGCACAAGAAACGACCCTAGCCCGATTCTACGGTATGCCAAAAGTGCACAAAGAGGGCGCTCCTCTCCGGCCTATCGTATCACTAAAGGGCACTCCAACCTACGGACTGGCAAAGTGGCTTTTCCAACGTCTCAAGTTCCTGACCTCTGATTCAAACACCACAGTCAGCTCGTCAACGCAATTCTTGGAGAAACTTAAAGGAGTAAGTCTCCTGCAAAACGATATCATGGTTTCCTTTGATGTCACGTCCAATTTTATTTCTATCCCACAGGACCTGGAAGTCGAGACCATCAAACTACTCCTACGAGAGATATACGATGAAACGGAGAATCGCCTCGGACACACCCAAATCATTCAGCTCCTGAAGTTCTGTCTCAAGACGTATTTCACTTTCTACGGAACAATCTATGAGCTGGTGAAGGGAACGCCAATGGGTTTGCCGATTTCGGTACTCATAGTCGAGGCGGTCTTAAAACGGCTGGAGTCGCTGGTTTTCCGACACCACAGACCGAAATTCTGGGCTCGATATGTGGATGACACCTTCGTCGTCATCGAACGGGATCAGGTGCTGACTTTCAAAGAACAACTCAACGCCGTCTTCCCGGACATTCAATTTACGATGGAGGAGGAGGAAAACAATCAGCTGGCCTTCCTGGATGTCCTCGTCTGCTGCAAAGATTGTGGTGGCCTAAAAACCAAAGTGTTCAGGAAAGCGACAAATACGACGCAAATACTGAACTTCAATAGCAACCACCCGATCAGTCACAAACGCAGTTGCGTAAGGGCGCTATACCGGCGCGTTGAGACGCACTGTAGTGAAATGGAAGACAAGATTGCTGAATTACAACATCTTCGACGGGATATGAGAGCCAATGGTTACCCGCGCAACTTGGTCAACCAGTGCATAGGAAAAGGACACCAGAGACCAAGTCCAACCAGCCCCTAATTTTGGCGGGCTCTTCCGTACGTGAAGAACGTCTCGGAAGCCGTCAGTCGTCTTCTCACTCCACTTGGAGTTGGGGTTGCACACAGGCCGGAAGTAACCATTAGGCGCCAAGTCATGAGGCCAAAAGACCCGCTGCCACGGCAGGAAACGTCTGGAGTCGTTTACCGGATCTGGTGTAGCTGCGGACAAAGCAATTATGTCGGAGAAACTGGATGATTACTCCGTACGCGAATTGCCGAGCACGCAGCAGCAGTGAGACGGGGAGACGCTAACTCTCAGGTGGCGGTACACTCGACGGGACCTGACCATATTTTCAAATTTAAAGAGGCCGAAATCCTCGCAAGGGGTGACAACCGCGTGGGCCGCGAGCTGCTCGAGTCATGGTTCTCAGGCCCGCAATCCATCAACAAGCACAATGACATCCCGGTACCCTATTCCGTATTGCGATTTTCCCTGGGCAGGAGAATCAGTCACGTGGGGAGGGCGCGGGCGAGCAATTATCACGGTGGCAGTGAGCCAGTTTGCCGAGCAATCGTCACACCAGCATCCAGCACGGATGACGAAATCGCGACAATTAACGACTCGGACTCGGACCGAAAAGCCACCACCGCATCAATTACGACCCCAGCGGTGATTGCGAGAACTGCTAATTGCAGTGCGCATACGGTCCCACGGCAACCAAGTGCTATAAATACCGCACTCCTGGTGCCACCATCGCCTTTATCTGCGAATGTCTCTGATGATGGGTTCGAGTGAGAATCCGAAACGCCAGGCAAATAAATTTCTTGTTCCAGTGATCGCATCTTTATCTTCTGAACTGGTACCTGGAACTCGCCAGTTCGATTCTATCAGCAAGTTAGCATTTGTTACGATTGAGGCTATGACACCACTAATCACATCACTTTTGCAAGCTATTCAAATTGTCTTGTAACTGTACGGAGTCTTCCGGCCTCTCTGTTAGTTTCCATAATTGGAGATCGTCGGCAAACATTACGCGCTCGCAGTTCAGAGAATCTAGGCAGTCGTTCACATATATTAAGAACATAGTTAGATCCAGAACGCTTCCCTGCGGAACGCGGTTGTGTACGGATGCCCATCCCGATGTTGCGTTTCCGATGCCCACACGCTGAGATCTGCCCGTAAGAAAATCGTCCAGCCATTTCAACAGATTTCCACTCACTTCCACTTGACGTAGTTTAAATATAAGTCGTCTCCGTGGAACACTGTTAAAAGCCTTTCTTAAGTCAATGTAGGCGACATCGACTGATAAGCCCATGTCGATTGATTTCTTCCAGCTCTCCATGTATACTAGCAGATTAGTGAGACAGGATCGACTTCTTCGAAATCCATGCTGATGTAAACTGAGCAAGTTGTTTTCTTCGAGGTGCCGCATCAGCTCCGTTTTTATTACTTTCTCTATTAACTTGCAACAGGTGCTTGTGAGACTCACTGGTCTGAAACTATTTGGCGCTGTTCTCTCGCTACCTTTATATATGGGGCTTATATTTGCTTTCTTTCAGTCGGTAGGCAAAGCCCCGGTCTCCATCGAAGTTCTGAAGATCCTGGATAACGGAGAGGCCAGTTGGTCTGAGAGTTCATTCAGGACTTTTGCAAACACGCCGTACGGACCAGGGGATTTAGTGGGCTGCAATTGACTCAAAGTTTTCCTTATCGTGTCTGTTGTGAAGTCAACCGTGCTAATTGTATTGTCTGATTTGACAATTGGGAGTAAACTCCTTAATCAAAAACCGGCTTCTTGATATACACAGACGTGAAGAAGTCGGACAACAGGTTCGCCTTATCTGATTTGTCAGACAACGTATTTCCCTGGCAATCTTTTAGGCAGGGAATGAAATCCCGGTTGCGTTTCGCCTTATTCACGTATCAAAAGAATTTTTTGAATTTTGCGGGATATTTTTTAAAGGTTTGACTCAAATTGTGCCCGTTCCCTCCTCAACAGATTCCGACATACATTTCTCTGTTTTCTGAAGTCATCCAAATGCTCTGGTTTTTGATATCTGGCGTACTTTTTCTAAAGTCTCCTTTTCAATTTAAGGTTCTTCTTTATTTCTGACGTTTTTATTGGCGTACGTAAGTCCATACGATAACTTTCTACAGGCTTTTTGGGGTTGTTGATCGTTGTTTTGTTTTGGTGCAGACGGACTCTGCATGATCCAGATTTCTCAAATTTATGGAAATGTGAGAATCAGTTTCATTTCTGTCTGTCTTATTTTTATTTCAGTTCATTTCGGTTGAGTCCGAAGACTTATCTAGTGACTTCGCACGCTGCCTCTTGTTTCGCTGAACGCGACGTATATAACATTTTACCGGTTTCTTGAGGTTCATGGGGTCCGGCTCATTGATGTTTTCCATGTCCTTTATATCGTGTTCAGGGGGTTTAATTTTGTTATACTTGAGAAGTGACGCTATTATTTCAATGAGGGGGTCGACGTCTACTGCTACTTTCGAAACTCTGGTGGTGAGTTCTCGACATCCATCACAGCGTGTCGACATTTCAGTATCTAGTTTATTTGTGGCTAACATCGGCAGTGAACTGCGTTCTTCAGGGTTGGTGGTCGGTGGCCCATCACGTCCAGCTGAGAGCGAGTGAAGTATTTTCGGCAGATTTTTATCACAAAAAATAGAGAACGGTTTACAAATAAGTGATAGATCGCCTTTTCCTGAGTCTATATTATTTTCGTGGGCATCCGGCCGTCCGGGCGTGACCGAGTGGTTAAAGGCGTCGGTTCCTGCGCGAGTGGTCTGCGGTTCAAATCTTAAGTGAGGCGGACTTTTGTCACACATATTAGGGTCATGGACATTTGCATTCCCATGCTAGCAAGATTTATTTAAGATTGCATTTAGTTATAATGGACGACTTCAATTGCTAAGTGGCCACTTTACTGAGCACAGACAAAAGCTTCATTTCCAAACGGAATTCTGTATAAAGTGTTGATTGGAAGCAAAGAACGACTTAGTCTTCGCAGACAGGTTCTAAGTAGTCTTCGCTTTCTGCGGGTTATCAAGCACTTCGTCGACGGATGATTAACTTCGGAAGCACGATGGAGCCGGTATTCGTATGAATTTGAACTAAACCGAGCTAGATGCTTTGTTAAACTCTGGGTTGTGGATTTCTGAGAGCCTCAGTGAAGGATGAAGATATGGCCGGTAATGGGATCCGTGAAAGCGGAGGTTAATTGCTCTTTTAAACTGATTTCTCGATTTATTTCGACAAGCCGCAACTCTGGGTAGAGACGGGTGATCGAAATGTCAAAACTTGGGAAGATGAGGAAATTCCAGTCGAATTCAAACAGCTCGGATGTTCTTCCAATCCAGTTCTCCATTGTCTTCTTTGCCATCTGTGTGACCCATGGCGGTTGCGCACATTGTCCCATTATTTTTTATAGGACAATAGGATTCAACTAGACATTCAATAATCCCGCCCAATTACTACTAGAAGTCTTCTGAATCTTACATTTTGACTGACCAGGGTTCCTCCGGAACAATTCAGTTTATTTCCAGTTTATTTGATAAGCATAATAGGCAAAGCCTTTGAAAAACCTATTGATTACATGTCAACTTGTTAGAAATAATTGTACACAAACAATAAAAATATTCGCTACGAAAACAGTACTTGATTCATTTGAGTAGCATCGAATCAGAAAAAAATCGCGGGGTTGTGGCGTATTAGTTCAGATTCAGACTGTCGAGGGAAAATAGGGGACACAAATAATCATCCAAGCGTTTCTTGAAGAGTTGCAGAGACGTAGCCTCCACGACTGACCGAGGGTGATCGTTCCATTTCTCCACTACCCTCTGCGTGAAAAGTTCAGAACGAAGATTCAGCCTGGACATTGTTGTCCGTAACTTCATCGAGTGACCACGAAGATTGGGTGAAAGGTGCCAGTAAAACATGTCCTCAAATTTAAGCCCATGCGCAAGGCCATGTATTATCTTGTAGACGAGGATGAGATCACCTCTTTGGAGCCTGTAGCACAGAGGGAATAAATTAATGCAATTCAGTCTGTCTGTGTAGGATTGGCCATTTAGACCGTTTACCAGCTTTGTTGCACGACGATGTACCCGTTCGAGGTATGCTTGGTCCTTTACTAGCCATGGCCGCCACGCTTGGTTAAAGTTTACGAAAGCCCTTTGGATTGCATGCAGCACTCCCATGGCGTTTTTTGCAGCCTTGTGGCGCTGCAATGTTGGATTCAGGTTGTTCTGTATCCAAACCCCGAGATCCTTCTGTGAAGATTCTGCAGGGAGCCTTATATCTTTCAGGTGATATGCCCTCAGGCTCTCATTTGAATGAGAGTTGGTTGGACGCAGATGAAGGACGGCACACTTCTCCACATTGAAATCTAGAAGCCATTTGTTCGACCACGCTTGCAGTCGGTGCAGATTATCTCGAAGGGATCTCTGATCGTTCGGTCCCTTAATGACTTTCCAGAGCTTAACGTCGTCCGCAAACATAATTTGGCCGCAGTCGAGGTTCTGAAGGCCGTCGTTAACATAAAGGATGAAGAGCAATGGTCCCAGAACTGAGCATTGAGGCACACCACTGGTCACGTTCACCCATTCTGACATATAATCTCCGATACAGACACGTTGTTTCCGACCAACTAGAAACGCCCTTATCCAGTTCAGAAGATCTCCCTGGACGCCGATGGTGCTCAATTTGTGAAGAAGACGTTGGTGCGGAACAGTATCGAAAGCTTTGCGGAAATCGATGTACACGACATCGACCTCAGAACCCTCTTCTAGAGCCCTGGTCCAGATCTCCAGACAAGCTAGCAGATTTGAGAGACAGGAACGTCCTCTCCGGAAGCCATGTTGAAAATCCTGCAAGATGTTATTTTCTTCACGAAATTGCTGTATAACGCTCTTTACTAGAACTTCCATCGTTTTGCAAGGGAGGCAAGTTAAGCTAATAGGCCTAAAGCTGCTTACTGTCATCCTGCTACCTCCCTTATACAAGGGAACGAGGTTAGCTGACTTCCACTGTGAGGGCAGCCTTCCTATTCTCATTGACAGCTTAAAGATAGTTCAAAGAGTCTTTGACAGCTCCGTTGATAGCTACTTAAGTATTAGTTCGGGAATTCCGTCGGGTCCGGGAGACTTATCGGGTTTTATTTGACTGAGGACGCGTCTTACTTCTTCGACGGAAAGGGCGACGGTTTCAATTATGGCAATATTTTGGCGCATTTGAAGCTCCCAGCTGTCTCGGTCCATTTCAAACCGCTGATTGTCTTCATTGCGTTGAGATTACCCGTCCTATCACTTCCGCGCTTCTTAATTTGGGATTGTGTTTGCGACAGAAGAGAGCACACGAAACTTAAAGCAGTGTAGTCATTTGAACTGAATGGAAGATATTCACTCACTTCTCTAATGACTCCTTCTCTACAAGATATAGACAGATTGCTGTTCTTCCTTCAGTCTTGCATTGTATTTCATATACTGTCTGAGATATTGATCGATTGTGGTAGGTTGTGAGCAAAGATTTGTTTGAGACGTTTGTTACGGGAATTTTCTAGTCCATTCCTTAGGCATTAAATTCATCCAGAGGTAGCAAGTTTCCCTGCTTACTTAACAACTCAAATGCGCTAAGTAACTCCATGTCGGAGGCCAATAGACACTGCACGGGTTAATTGTCGGTAATTGTTTGATATTAATCTTGCATGGGATTATTTAAAAATCTCGCCGTACCACATCGGATATTACTCGTTGAGAGCACGCAATTTAATTTGATGCATAAACCGCCACACCTCCCCCCTCTACGTTGAAATTTGTCACAACGGAACACGTGGTAGCCTATAATACTGCTTCGCTGCTACTTACTTCATCAGTTAACCCCGCCTCTGTCAGAGCAATTATGTGATGTTTCTGCTCAGGGGGCTAGTAATTTGAGTTTATCTTGCTCGTTGAGGAGACTCTGGCAGTTAGTGTAATAGATTTATAGACAGCGACCGCTACGGCTCGTATAAGTCTCGAAAGTGGCACCTTCATACCGGTTAGACTGTCAAAATAACTGTTTCAACCAAAGAAATGTTCTTTTGACATGAACTATCTGTTTTTCCTTGACATTAAAATGCGTTTCCTAGTTGCTTTTCCGCTCTTCTGGAGATCCGTTATCAATTGTCACACATTTTCATTCGCTCTTTTGGCACATTATCCGACAAAAAACTTCGGGATGCTGGCCCAGCAAGGACGATTTTTACCGTATCAGGACTTTCTCTTGTGTTTCAGACCCTTAGAAGATTTTTAGGGACGTAGCCGGAAATTTGAACCAAGCGTCCTCTGAGTCTTCAACACTTTGTATGCTTTGAGAATGTTAATTTGCTCATTATCTCTTAATAGAGCTTTCGTATTTTGGCTAACCATGAGAAACAAATTCTTAAAGCCTCTACTTCTTGATAGAATATCATCCCCCTAGAAAGGATCACGAAGGTGATGCTCAACCGCTGGATGAGCTCAGAATATTTTCTACGCGTCCAAAAACCCTCATCGTTGAGGACTTTAATGTATCTCACATCGATTAAAGCTCGGCCTCCGCCGACTACACTGAAACTGCAGACCAATGAGTCTTACATCCCTCTGTTGAAAAATCCTGGAGAAAATAATAAAGCAAGCGTATACGAAGTTCCTCGAGCAGCATCGACACTCCGACGCCCAACACGGCGTACGAAGTGATAGGTTCTGTCTCATTAATCTGTTCTCTTCACTCGAACGCTGGACCAAAGTGTGCGACGAGAGCAAGGCGGTGCATGCCATCTATTTGGACTTCAAAAAGACATATGACGGCATCCTTCATCAATGTTTCCCGAACAAACTGCGCAACGCAGGAATTCGTGGTCACCTTCCTGTATGGACGCAGAGCCTATTGACTAGAAGGTCCAAAAGAGTGAAGGTCGGAAGCCTGCAATCCTCAGATGCAAGCGTGGTGAATGGCGACCCGCAGGCCTCAGTCTTAGGCCCCACGTTATTCATCGTTCTCATAAGTGACTGCGTCGCGGACCTAGGCTGTGATGCCATCGTGTTTTTTGACGCCATAAACTTGTGAAAAGTCATTCACAATGCGGCAGACGGATACACCAGCAAACTAGCTTGAACAGGCTCGAGGCCTGATCGAAGCGCTGATCTATGCCCTTCAAAGTGAGCAAGTACAACTCCCTCCAACTCGGCAGCTGCAGAGCCTCCAGCACCAGGACTTACTTTCTTTATGTAACACCACTGCAAAAAGTTGACAGTCAAAAGAGCTTAGGTATGTGGATTACATCTTCACTCAAACCAGCACTGCCATGCGCGAAGTCGAGTAAGTCGGATACGGCTACATTGCAACTGGTTAGGCGAGCCTTTATAGAATATGACATTAATTGCTTTTCCAAAATATTTGGTAACTTCGTGTAGCCTCATCCAGAATAGGCCATACAGGCATGGAGACCTTGGACTGTCAAAGAGAATACGGTCTTAGAGAGGGTCCGGAGACGGGTGAGGAAAAGGACAAAAGGTCTTAAATCACTGCCCTATGAATTCAGACTGCCAACTCTCACCCTGTTTCCCCTTTCCTACAGGCACTTATGGGGTGACATTTTACTATTGTAAACCTAAGAAACCTGTAACAATATTTACCTTTTGGACAAAACATTGTATAGCCATTTTGTAGTAAATAAAGACAATCCCCTTAACCGCAACATTATAGGTGTTAAGCCTTGGTGCTGATTGTTAACGCCCTTGAGATTATTCAGTTTAAACAAGGTCAACGCGATAACAGCTGTCGAAAGGGGACCTGTCAAGGAGTGTTGAAAAAGGACTTCGGACGACACACTACATTCCAAAAGGTCAGCAACATCACAGACATCTTTACTATATGGCCTTATCATGGTCGTTTCGCATAAGACATTAGACAGACCTAAAACTTAGCATTTGACGTTCAGTTAAGTGACGGAATTGTTTCAGTTAAAAAATTTGGGCACACTTAAAACTCATTATTTAATGTCAGGTGTTTTTAACCTGTTGTCAGATAAAAGTGGCCGAGGGAAATAAGATCTAAGAAACTGACTGTCATAATTTTGTCCCAAGACTTGCGATTTTCTAGTTTTCAGATAAATATGTAGATTGCGTTAAATCACCTGTATATATCAACTATATTGTTAAAACCTGCTTATTTATATATTTTGGAGTGTGATTTTAATTGATTGTGATTGGGAAGACGCAACTCTTCTTTGAACCACATGTACATGCATTAATGCTAAGCAGAGCCCTAAAAAAAGGACTGCGTAAGGAGATTGAATTAACCGTAAACATCTAACAGGAAACGTTCTCAACTGAGAACAGACTTTTGAACAGCAGAATAAGGGTGTGTGTCACTGTCAGAAAGTAGATCAAAACAAGTATAAATAATTTTCTTTCAGTATCCTATTTTTGGACAACCCTTCACTTTCCGCACTACAAAGAAGTTTTTGGGTTGTGCATGTGTCACACTCTAAAACATGTCAAGAAAGACTATGGTCCTCCTGAGGCTCCTCACTAGGGCCCGCGTTGCCTATCGTGATACGCATATTAGACTTTAGAGTGATATGAAGACTTGACTCTCAGAGGCCTTCTGTAACTGAAATAACTTTTTTCCACATATGATCGTAGTATTTAGTTATTGGACCAAATGTGGGCGCAGTACTGGGGGTTCCGCCTCAAAAGTGTCGTATGGAAGAGGTGCATTTATTGATTGCTAAAGTGTTCTTAGAATTATATGCATATTATTAACAACCGGAAAGCTAATATCAAGTTTGTAACTGTTCCTACTTCAAAGTTTCCGGCAAACCTCTCACGCATATAAGCTATTCTACTGAACCTGCGCATAGGACACTTCATGTGATAAATTATTATTTTATGCAGAACACATAGGCCAGTCTCTACAACTGTCCATACGAATATGTTCTGGAAAAACATCTTTTTATGTCTGAGCTCAAGGGTTTAGCTCGACTGTAGGGGGGAAGTATATGTTTAACGTTACTTAAGATGCACCGGTGGACCAGCAGGTTTTAAAATGATTTTGATGAAGTCGTTTGTAATCGATAATTTCGTTAGCGTGAAATGTACCCGTCACCTTCTTGAATACGATCATTTTGATATGCAAGCAGTTACTGTTCTAACTTGCAGATAAGTTCGGCCTGCGGTCTAATTGATTAACTGGACTTTTTTAACGGGTATTCCAAAAGCCATCCACGAATATCCCGAAACCTTAAAAAAGAGGTTACCTGTCAGTGTTTAAAAATGTGTAGCTCTGGTCCTGTTAAAGAACGGCGTCTTTGGTGGGAGGACGAGTCGACACATAGTAGAGATAATACAGTGCAGGGATCGTCTGAAAGATAAGGTTGTTTTACCAACACGCGTTTGGAGGTTCGAGAAAGCCCTAAAATTGATGTTTTGCCAGCTTTGATGAGGTGATTAATTAAGACAAGGACAACAACACTGAAACTTATTTCCCGTTGTTGTTTTTTGGCTGAATAGGCACAACATGACCAGAAAACTTCGATTTTAACCTATAGTAGTTTTTAATGCGGCATGCCTACTTAATTGGACAAATTTCAATAACTATGCTCGACAAGCCTTCAATTTTATGCTTTCTGAAGATAAAAAAGCCTTCCTCTGGTGCTCCTACACCGTAAAGGAAAATGTGCTTTGCCATTTCTATTTAGAAATTCTTATAGTTACTGTATGATTTTACACCCTAAGAACGGAGGTACGTGCAAGGGTGCTGCTTTTCTTCTAGCTCTATTTGAATGTATAAATTTGAAAAGAAATATGTACTATCGGCCGCACATATTTTTATATTTTTACTTTGGGGAAGATCACTCTGCTCTTTAGGCCAATATGAATAGTTTCCTCTGTCGTCCAGCTCGCTAGACGCTGGATGCGTAGGAGCTGGATGATATGGTAGCACAATTGCTGTATATTTGCGCCCTCGTCTGCCGCCTTAATTCGCCGTCCTCTGCTAGAACTCTATTCAAGTTTACCGCCTGATGGAAATTTTGCATTTACTTCGAATAGCTAAATGCAGTTGTCCAACTTCGGGAAACCGTATACGCAGCCTAAGCGAATGTCGCATATGCGAAGACGAGGCATAGTAGTTTTCCATTTACAAGCGTAAGGATTACATCATTGAAACAAATATACCGTTTGTTACAGGAAATGCAGGGGATGGGCTGCTACACATGAAAGGAGGCAAGCCCCAAGAAAGAGCTATCTGCAATTAAGGCATATTTGTACTCAAAATGGGCGCTACTGCTCCCGAAGACGAAATTGAACATATGTATGCAACAATTTTAAACAACCAAGAAAATAAATGATGTTTGAATTAAGCAGAAAACCTTACTCGGAAAGAATGCATTTACTGGTTGTACATTACATATTATATCTCTTACGTTTGTCCACTGAGCCTGCTTTCTCGACAAAGTATCCTCTAGAGCTGAACATTTGATTCATTCTTCTATTTAACAATACGAATAAAAGCGGGAAATGCCTGGCAATTATTCCGGTTTCCGACAAAGAAACTCCTGATTTAAGGCATTTCAAAGTCTATCAAGTGCACCCCTATAACCTACTCAAGATCTTGAATATTAAGGAAGAAATTTTTTTCAGTGTCAACCGAAAGCCCTAATCGATACCAAGTGCAATATATATGTTCAAGTTCTGTAAAGATTCTCATATTTCGGTTTAAAAGTCCGTTAATAAACATGTTTTTTATTTATTCGACGTCAGACCGATACAACTGCATATATACTGAACTTGTGAGTTAGTGACAGGGGTAAAATATGTCCCAGGGGGCAGGGTTAGTCAGATCCCTTGTTGCCACACCGCAGGCATGACGTATTCAACGTGTTGAGGACGACGGAGCTGGGGTGAGTGGGGAGGTGGAGGTGCTCAAAAAGTTGCCTTTTTCTTTCTACACTAAAATCTTCTATAAAACAAAAATAAGTTTAGTTTAGTATCCATAGAAACCAATCGCCATGCCAATTATTTTAAATGAATTTCATATATGGATTATCAGTGTTAAGTATTTGGTGCGATTTTGATTCAATGCCTTTCTATTTTCAAGGTTCTACTGGAAAACAATGGAGGTCTGTAATGTTCGCTTGCAGTACAATATTCATTACTACATAACTTTAAAGAATCGATCTTTTTAAATTTGTACTTCTTGAAGAACAAGTGGTTGTACAAGTTATTTTCTGTTGGTTGCACTTTCTGGTAAAACCATGCCTTTCTGAATGCTACTAGGACGGTCAAGACTATGTTATTGTGGAGGAGGAACTTCTAGACTATGCCAGAAAGGAGGAAGGCTGTGAATCCGTGGGAACAGTGCTGGTCCTCTATACGGGAGGCGCAATTGGCATGCAGTATAGAGGTGGAGCATATGAGCCCGAGCCACATTACCTTACGAACTACCTCACTCAAATGCCTACTTTCAATGACACCTCGTACGTTCTTGCTGGTTATCCCCTGCTCTTTTTTCTCTTGCAACCACGCCAACACGGAAAGAAAGGATTAGTGATTTGTATTTTCTTTATTCTAAACCAGACGTTTTGTCTAGATAGTAAAAAACACTGATTAAGAATGTGTAAACCCAATCGATGGTTGTTATTCGAAGTATCCAAAAAGTCATTTGCATGCCTCTACTTTGCTATAAAATAGTGGTCCATAGGTGTTATGCAGACTTCAAAAAATTAACTTTGCTCCTTGGTTTGGATGCAGGCGCTTGTGGCAAGACAGCAGAATCGAGGATATCGGTCAGGCTTATTGATGCTTTTCGTTGAAACTGTGTGTAAAGAACAAATTCTGCACCTTTGTCTCTGTTACTACTGTTGCTGTTCGACAACTCAAGACAGGAGCACTTTTGCTATCAAATTGTCTAGTGTATGATTGCTGAAATACTTTCTGCGTCAGAAATAATTATGATTTGTAAATCTTATTCGTCCACCATTATTTTCTGAAATCTCTCAGCTTTTGCCGCCAAAAGCGCGAGGAATTGAACGGGACCTCGACATCCAAGGAAAAATCCAGACCCCAACTACCAACCAGTAGGCCTTCGACTGCTTCAGTCACGCTCGCTTTACCTCTAACTGCGAGGAGGCGTCGAATTCTTTATCGAGTGGTCGAATATGAGGAGTTGCTTGATTCTTCCAACTGTGTCATGGATCACTGGATCAGTCTAGCAAAAGATATTGAGAAGTGGTACGATAATTTTACCGGTTTCGTTATCCTTCACGGTACCGACACTTTGCCCTTCGCCGCCTCTGCCTTGTCGTTTATTTTCGAGAACTTGGAAAAGCCTGTTGTACTCACTGGCTCGGAGCTTCCAATAACACAACTCTGCAGTGATGGACAGCACAACCTGCTTGGGGCCCTCCTGTTTGCTGGTGCTGAGTACGGCATCCCCGAAGTCACCGTGTACTCGCAAAAGAAGGTAATTTCTGACCTATAGGCATGGAGGAGTAGAAGTCAGTTCTAATTACGCCTGTTCGCATTAAGATCCGAGTTTGCTGGTTGCTGATGAATTCACGTAAAATAACTTAGGCTAGGATCCTCAGGAACGCGAAGTTAAAGAGACAAAATATCGAGATTAATAAAAGACAGCGACAGATAGTCATCAGCAGTACCAATATGGCAGTACACCACCTGCACCAGCAACTGCTACAAAGTCCGATAACTGCGTCGAAACACTGGTATTATGAATTGATATAACATTATTTTTTATCCATTGCTGATTGACCCGGTATCCGCCAAAGATGCTGGGCTGATAATTAGAGAGATTCGACTGCACCATGCTGTCGAACCGTTATGATCATATTAATTTCTACCCCGCAACTAATTCTGGGGGTGTTGACTCTCATTACTGTTTGAAAAAAGTAGATAAGAAGAAACTGGTTTGTTTAGAAGGCAAATCGTATTGCTTATTGCTTGCTAGAGTGGGCGTGAAGTTCTGTCGAGCCCCTGAAATTGTGTCTGGTTGGTTCGATGACAGTAGTGGCTCGACCCCGTAGACTTTTTAACTCCTGAGCCAGACCGTAGCCTTAAGCTGCAGAGATGCTGTAGTTGAATCACTTTTCAGATGTCGGCACATTTCACGGGGAAGACATGTGACATAATAGGCGTCTTTCAGTCAGCCGTAGACTTTTCGACGTCATCAGCCCCAGTCAGTCTCATTCATATCGCAAAACACAGACGAACAGCACTGCGCTTTCCGGCTGGGTTGGCGCATGTACCTATTTGCCCTCAGATGTGCGGTGCGGTAAGTAGGTGTGTCGGTTTTGGGTGAAAAATGCGCGGCCTCCCTTATTACCCGGCGAAGCAAGGTCTACTAAAGTAGACATTGACCTGGCTAAGTACCTATGATGGTGTTCTATTTACAGTCTGTTACCAGACGGCAAACTGCACAGTCTGGAGGTAATGAAGTCTCACAGCTACCTATCCACTTAGTAAGCCAGTGCCAGAACGAGTGTATTCTATCTGTTGTCGCATTCGCCGCAGAGGGTTAGGCCACAATTTTTTTTAAGTTACGTAGAAGTTAGATGCGTCACATAGGCCCATAGTTGTGCACATTCTTGATATTTCTACAAACTTCACGACTGTCCTCGAGTACTCAATGACGCCAAAGGCTGTTCATATGGTGACAATAGACTTCATATATCGGGCTAGGGACTGCGCCAAATCCAAAACCATGTCGATTGAATACTCATTAGAGTACATTACAGTGCCTTACTTCCAGACTGCGAACTCCCACGCTATGATTAATCTGCCAGCAGCTGCGCGGATGCGTTAATGGGCGGTCGCGGTTCAGCTAGATTCTAACCGATATTCAGGTGATTTTGTGGCCGACGCAAAAAAAGGACACTTAAAAAACCTCCTGTGTAAGAACCAACTGTCTCGGCATACTGCAAATTTCGTAAAAGCACCTCCTCAACAAGTTCCATCGTGATGACTGAAGACCTAACAAACCATCCAACTGTTTGCCTTTGCTGCAGCTCTGATTCTGAGCGCTTACATTGTGAGACATTGACATTGTACGTTAGGATTGCAAGGATTTCTGAAGAAAACGTTGCTTGTTTTTTCGAAGGCTTTTCATGGGATAACGAAGTGACGGGTCTGCATCATATTTTCAAGAGGAGTCAAACCGATAATCACTACACTTACCACCTTAGAATAGGGGATGCTCAATCCCAGCTTTATCCAAGGAGTAAACCTCCAATTGGAGGTACATTAGGTACAGATTCCGAGCCTGACGAATGATGCAAAAAGTCCTTGTATACTAGCAGAAGTTATAAAATAAAGTGGCTGATGGAAAGCGAAAGGTGCTGCTGAAATGCATTATCTAGTCAGCTTTATGGCTTCTTCATCGGCATTTTGGAACAACGGCCGCATCACCGAGATATGCATGTCTAATTGTTGTGCTGATGTTTCGGAAATCTGAAAAATAGTTTGCAGGAACTTTTATGACACCAACCCTCGTGGCCTTCCTTCTGTTAGCGGTTGTGCGGATGCCCAAGCCGATTTGTCACTCCCGCTCACAACCTCAGCAACGCACAATAAGTTGTCTTTTGATTGACTGAGTCTCAATTTGGATGGCATCTAGGCCATCAAAACTGCCCCAGTTTATCAGGCAGATAGAGATCATCGTAGACATTTTACCGTTAAGATTCCAGACCTTCTGGATGGTCACAAGGACCAGGGGGGTTTCTATGGTGTGCTTTTAGGTGTCTGGTGTGGCCATTTTTGTCAGAACTGTAATGCTAAACGACGACTAGGACCCTTAAAAACGCTTCCAGAGAACATTCTGCGGGAACGGCAAATACTATTACAGACCTTGGCAATTCTGATGACATTGAAATGAAAGAGAGATTCTTTGTAAACTAACAGGCAACAAAGAAATGCCACCAATCTCCTCAAAAGTAAGGATCACTGACGCGCGCAGCGCACGTGGACACATCTTCCCCTCATGTTAGGCTGTGGTCCTCCTAAACTAACTGAGAAAGTTCGCTTGTCTGTACAAAAGACTAGGTCTACTATGCAGAAAAGCTAGGCGCACTCTGACCTCCATCCGATATCAAAGAAAAGACAGAACGGTATATAGTTAGACCTCCATTAAGACCATGTTTTTATCGGATAGGAGACACGTATCGTGCATTCAGGAACTGTCTCTTGTCGGTGGTCAGTTGTTTGACATTCGTTTACAGTCCTCGTTCCCGTACCGTTGGTCGTATCTGCAACAGTCGTTTGTGTGCTCAGCCTGCTCACAGCCTATATGCTATGCTTCCCTCACCCACTTGCTCAGCTTACTAGATTGTGGATTTAAAGGCCATTCCTTTACGACGCCAATTTCACCGAGCCTGGAGGTGGTGTCAGAAATGCCAACTGAGGGTATGCAGGGCTGCGAAAAATAGAGATTTGTAACGCTCTTGTAGTTTACTTCAGTGAAAGTAATAACTTACAGTGTGTTTAATTGAAAGTCGAGACTAATCGAATGCATCATATTCGGTTGAACCATAAAAGTAGGCCAAAATGCGGACTTATGCAGTCAAGTTTCCCCATTGGATCTTGCGTGTTTTTTTTCAAAAATGAACATGTTGCAGGTCAAATGTAAACTTCTATGATGTTTTTCTCTATCTAAATGAATTTTTTCTGATCTTCATTGAGAGTTAGAGTTTCTAGAAGCTCCACAAGATAGGAGAACTCGCCTAAAAACTCTCGATGCTATATGCAGAAAAAGAGGGATGACAAAGACAGGGGGCTGGGATGACAGTTTCCGGCTTGTCAGTCGTCGTCAGCCGGCCATACCCAAACACATGCATGAAGCGCCTGGGATTCGAACCCGAGTCGAATGCTCTGATAATTGAGCTACGGGCCTGTTGTCCACTAATTTTAACCTAACTAACATATATAGTCAAGGTAAACATGTTTGAAAAATCGTTTTCACAAATCCACCTAAATACAGGAAATAGGTCGCAAGCTCCAAAATTTTCGCACAAACGTACTTAGGTGCCCAACGTGGAAACGATATATTTGCCGTTATTTCGTAGTTATTTTGATATTTTCTTCTACTTTTGGCATTTTAATCTTAGTCCTTCGTTCCGATATTTCCTTTTTTGATGATTTTCACTATCTAATCTGCCAGAAAGCCATTAGTATCGGTTTGTTTCAAGCTCTTTACCACCGAAAAGTAAGTGTATTGCTTATCAATGGGCAAGCTTGTCTCTTTCACTTTTCCATCTCCATTTGCTCGTTTCACCCAGCTCCTTCGTGGAAACCGAACAGTGAAAAGTTCCGCAACAGATGTGGACATGTTTGTTTCTCCCAACTGTCCCCCTCTGGCAGAGAGTCGTGAGGACATTAAGATCTACTATGATCGAATTTGGAAGTCAAATGACAAGAAGCGCAAACTGCGAGTGAATCCAGATCTCTGTCCAAATGTTGCCATTCTCCGGCTCTTTCCCTCCATGTCGGCGGAGACTATGAGAGCTTTCTTCCAACCTCCCATAGAAGGTGAGAAAACTCGTACTTGGATTTGGTTTTCGTTGAGATTTCCGGCACCGTTGTCTTTCCGAAAATCATGATATAGTGAACAAATTTGATATTTAGGCCAGATACATGGTGGAGATAAAAGCTCTGACTAAGGTGGCCAAATAAGGTCGTTTTTGTCACCTAATTTTTGTTAAAACTCGAGAATACACCTCAGTTGGGAGGTTAAAGCGTTCAATTTCAGTGGTCTATAAGTCATGGTGTAAAAAAATCCATTCACACGGAGAGAATTCGTCTCCACTATAAGGGAACGGAGAGGATAAAGTTCTGCTAAACTAGCCCCTTTAGCAACATAGGGTTATGAAGAAAGTAGACGGTTCCAAAAAAGTTAAGGATGAATTGTAGTAATTCGGATACTAGAACTTAACAGAAAAACGAAGAGGCATACAGTACGTGACCTATATCATGAAATCTGGTGACAAAAATTGACCGTGAAGAAGGTTACTTACAAAGAGACTTGAAATATATCAATGGAGACTGGTAAGCAGATATGGGGAGAACTGTGACATCCCGGATAAAACAACCTCATTTCCAGTAAATCTAAATGAGACGGATGTTATAAGTACGATTGTCGCAAACAACGATATCCACCGTGTGTCCCACGGCATGGCGGGCGCCGGGACGGTACTTGTCGAATTAATTAGCTTATGTTGATAACAGATCTGCGCAGCATTTACCGCACTTTCTTCTCCATCACCTTCCTGGGTCCAGCATCAAGATGGAGTCATAAAGCCCGGAGACGGGATCAAGCGCAGTAGCTGACAAAACTAAACAGCCCGTGTACACATGTCACACACGCCTGGTCCATGCACGATGGACGATTTTAGAGTCAAGAAATGTGCTGTACAGCCTTTGAAACCCAGTCCGTAAAATCGACCTCACTCACTTTTCCCTCCCCAAGTCGCCAAACCACGGTTCGGACGAGTCGGTCATCTGGTAAAGAGATTTGGCCCAAGTGGACGGCGTGGCGCGAGCCTATGCCTAGGTGTATCACCACACTCTCACCCATTTGTGGCATTTGTTATGGTTGTGCAGCTCGGATGACCCGTGCAGTGCCCTATTCTGACAACTGTGTTGGTTCAGCACATCTCCCGCGTAGCACTTTGAAGGAGCTCTTAAACGTGCCTGTTCCGCCCTGAACAAACAACTCAGCATGCTTGCTGACTGTTCAAAAGTGCAGTCAAAGAGTGGTATATACCATGACCAAGAAGATGGACCAGCAACATAACATAGAAAATGAAACCATGTGAGATTCTCATCTAAGTATATATCCTGATAAAACTTAGGTAGAAATGACCGTTTCGATTTCTCTGGTCTTTGTCAGTTGGCAAATCTCGCTTATGATTGCTCCTTCACAACTAGAATGCCTGACTGTTCCTGGTCTAATCAGAAGTATGTTTTTACAAAGCCCTAGCCTTCGGATCCAAATTATGTACTATGAAGCCCAAGGTAATGATTTGAAGTATGGGACACATATGCCTAATATGTACATTGACGGAGATAAAAAAAGGACTCGAGTTACTACTTCTTGTCGCTTAGCCGTCGCCACCAGCCACTACCTAGTCGTTCTTTCTTCGAAGGCAGGGTAACTCAGTGAACGCCACTTTTACCCGACTCTGAGCACCCCTAATCGCAGGTGATAGAGCGTGGGCTTGTGCCACAGGTAGCAGATCACATAGAGTAATGACCTCTTGGACCCTATTCGATCCTTGACGTTTCCTGGTTAAGAACTAAGGATAGCTGGCTGGTGACGCAGAATAAGACTGAAATAACCATCTCCGTCTCTCCCGTCTGTGCTAATATCTCTCAATTGCTGATCGTCCATCGCCTCGTGAGCGTCTCCACAGACCCTGCACAGTGTCATCAGAGCAGAATGGGACGTTCGTGTTCCCCACTGTAATAAGAATAGCTAAGCGAAAGTCACTTTCTTGTGAATTTCTTTAAGACCTCCGTCATCTATTAATAGCCGAAGACTGGACTTGCACATTTACCCCTCTTAGGTAACTATTTCTATATGCGTTACGGTCAGTATAATGTATTATAAGTTCGGGATAATTTATTTATCAAGGACATAAAGGTTGAGAATTTCCTCTCCAACAAAAATCAATTCATCCTTCATCCTACTTTACAGGCGTGATTCTCCAGACCTACGGTGCGGGGAATGTACCGTCAAACAACGAAGAACTACTTGAAATCCTACGAGAAGCCAGTCTGGATCGAAAAATCCTCATTCTTAATACTACTCAATGCTGGAGAGGAACGGTAGCTGGTGTTTATGCTACAGGAGCCATTCTCAACACAATTGGTGCAGTATCTGGCTGCGTATGTGCCTCTGCTCATACTGTGCTTTTAAACACCCTTGAATACTCTAGTAACCATGGCCCAACATACGTTTGCCTCTACACCACACCATTCATTGGGTCTCATTTCGTACAATCTGACATCGCACTCGATGACTTGGTGCGCTTGGCGATCGCTAAAAACACGAGGTTGTCCCCGACTGCCAGACAAGAAAGTGCTCATTACGCCAAAAAAGGCCTCGAGAGTGACAAGAGCACTGTGCTTAGGAAATGCGATGCGATCGCTTTCAGCTTCGCGTATCATTAAAACATTTTAGGGGATTTTGTTTAGGAAGTAACTTCTGAAGCAATTCATATTTTATGTAGACGGCACTCACTGCCTAGTAATAAGCACTAATTAGGGTAATCAACAAACGGCGACAAAAATGACACATTATTACATTTTCGGTGTCATTATAAACGCAAACACATTTTAAAGACAATTTTTACAAAATATCCTCGTTTGTGCGTCCATTTTGTAGCAAATCGCGTCTTCAGCAGTGTTTTTTGTCAGAAGAAAGGGTGTCTTTTGGCTTTAAAAAGTTCCTAATTATGGGATTTTTTTTCGACCGTAAGACGCCCATTGAAATAGCATCATACCTGTTTGTTTGGCAATACTCCCCATTAAAAGTATAACACAGTACACATCCGTTGCACCATTTCATGACTTTCATATGGTTTCATCTTAATGGCTTAGAGGAATATATGTCTTGTTCTTATGCAAAAAGCCTACAGCTTGTTGAATGAAAACCCTGAACGCACCTGCAACGGTTGATCGAGCCCGAAATTACTCAGGAGTTAAAGATCTCTTTAAACTAAAAGACGCCCTTTCTTCCGATATAAAATTTGCGGAAGGCATGATGCGCTATCTAAATAAATACAAGATAGGACATTCTATGCATTTTTTCTACAAAATATATTTTTGTTTATAAGGGCATCAAAAAGCAATAAAAAATGCATACTAAGCAAATAGTCTTTTTTTACCGAGTGCGATTTTTAGGCAAACGAAAAGAAGTCTGTTCGAAAGCCAACACCAGGCGTGTCTGAAATATCATGAGATTATTCCCCAGAAAACACTTTTACAACCCCACTTAAGTCATCCTTTCTCAACGAAAACGCATTTTAGAGTATCAGTTGACGATTCATGGGATCGGTTACCGACTGTAAATTAAAGAACAAACTCCTGGGCGTTTCGCTCTGCTGAGAAAACGAGAAAAGCTTCTAAAAGTCCACTATGGGAGAATTCTGTTTTCCGACTATGCATTTTTCTCTTTGTATTTAATGGATACTAGTCGTTTAATAAGCAATTTTCGGGGTAACAACATCCAGAAAATACCATCGGCACCGCAAGGTCCGGCTCAAATTGTAGTTGTTATTATCTCCATTTCACAATTTAAGATGTTAAGTGGATGGACTACAGTTTCCATTTAACTATTTTTACATTTTGTAACGAACCATACTAGATGTCGTAATGCTATTTTTCTGGATCCGTCTAACCAGTGAAGACTATTTAGACCGTCAGGACTGAAACATGGAAAGTCAGAGAATAATTGCGTTGTAGCAATTTATGCGATTCAACTGGGAGTACAGAAAGTGATTCTAAGGATAAGAGGGTCGTATCCTCTTGGAAGAATTCGAAGTAAGATAACAATATCTTCAGCTTATTCACTTGTTTGTTGGATGCTCCAAAATCCAGCAGACACGCTAGAATTGAAGCTTTAGTGATCTGAGCTCCAAGTGCACTTCTAGAAAATGACGGAATGATCTGAAACAACAGGTACAGACGTAATGTGTGTTTTTGACAGACCTACGTATTTCCTTTGGTCAGATTTTAAAAACCTAGCATCCTCGGTGGATTCTAGGTTGATGGTGCTTGGGCAGTCAGTTTACTGCATTAGAATTTGTAGATCTCACACGTTACACTAGCCTAGCCTGGTAACATGCCTCAAATACAATTAAACGCGGTCCTCGTAGTTCAGACGGTTATAGCGTTGGCTGTATTCGAGCTTTGCACTTGCTTTCGTTGATTGGAATCCTACCGAGGCTATTGTGTTCTTCACAATTTGGTCAAATGAATTACAGAATTGTGTTTGTACGCGCAGACTGTCAGTTTGCTGGTCCAATGCGCTTGCCCGCAACATCATGAACCTGATTATTCAGGAATAGCAACTAAGTCATATCGGTATAATTCCTCACAGCCACCCAATCTTCCCACAGTCCTCGTGAAACGTGGCTTGGTTTAAGACTGGTTTTAATGTTTAAGGTAAAGTGATTGGCTTATGATTGCGACAGAATTAGCTTTAAGCTTGTCTGCTTTGACCTCACAACGGACGGTATACAATTAATGTTGCATTCCTAACACAAGTTATTAGGTAGACGCTAATCCTCCCGGCCTTACCGGATGTAAGTATTCTGTTTTTGTCTGCTCTGGGTGGTTACAAGGTGAATAAATGTAGGTAATGCGTTGTTTCATGTCTGCGAAATATATCCACCTAAAACATCACAGCGTGTGAATAGAATGCCCACTGGAGCAATGACCAAAGTGATACCTCGGCTTGAATCGTATTAAACCCTTCGGAGTACATTAGGTTTTGAATTGTGCAATTGATCCTTTCTCAGTCCTAGTCGGAATCCTCGAAGGACACTGCCTATTAAAATGTCTAGGTTCTAGTGTTCAGGTGCCCAGATCTCCGGGAGGAGGGTTGTAATTTGCTTAGAACTCAGGCACTTTGTGTTCTGTTGCTTGTTTTGAGAACTAAATCACACACCATCCATTCTAACAGGATATGACGCCTGACGCAGCCCTCATGAAGATGGCCTATGTGCTGGCTAAATGGAAGGATCCCGCCACGCGTCGGCGCATGCTGGCGCACAGTCTTCGTGGTGAGATGACAGAACCCATATTAGAGACCAGAGTGGGTCTGAAGTCCATCAGTGCCTCGCCCTGCGCGATAGCCAATGTCTCACTGGAGCACACCCGCGGCCTAGGTGAACTCCTTTCCAATGTTTATGCCAACGGGCTCGCTCCCCAATGGGCTCAAAAGTTATTCCCTGCTCTCATGTGTGCGGCAGCAGAGACCGACGACACGGAGACCCTCGAGCAGCTCTTTCGAATAGCCGGCCATTTTGAGGTAAGTGTGTGGGTGGCGGACAGTGTACCAGCTCTCGTTCCACAGTGCCTGGGGCTGACAGCCTCCGCCACGTCTCAGATGCACGGTATCACCCGTTATAAGATTGGCCAATTTCGAATTTTCCATAGTTCCTCATCCGTTAGTAGTCTTGGCACTTTTTCGCCTACAGACTACTGTTTGCTCTTCAACAAATGTTACCTGTACGTACGAATTGATGCAAACTATGGAGGCTGGCAGGAAAAGAGATTTCAAGGAAATTATAATTTTTCCTGTGGGGACGAGTGACTTTGTCCCGGAGGCCTAGACAGAAAGGGAATTAGTTCGTAGTTGAGTTGTCAAACCCTAAACGATTGGCCGTGGTTCAGCGTTAAAGCTGTCAGCTTTTCCACACGCTTGCTAGATGTCCTTTTAATTGAGAAACATCACCGACAAAGGCATGGTAAACTCGGAGAAACAATGCTGATTCCTACTCAAACGTTATCCATCTAAAGTCCAGCCTTAAGCGGGAAAGATACAAGACTTGAAGGCAGATTCAACTGATTGTCCAGCTTTGCCCTCTGTCTGCTGAGTAACAGAAGAGTGGATTCCGGTTTATCGGTCACAATAATCTATCAAGGTATAATTCCTGTTGCCGTCACCTCTAAAATCTTCCAAAGACAGGGGTTTACAAGAGGTCGGACAACCACTGCTTTCGAAATGCGGGTACAGGTATGTCTGTTTTCTGCCCCTCCTATTGATATCACTACATGATGCTTGAATCCGATGGAGGAGGATTCTGGCACAACTGTATTTATGGTCAACGGGAGGATCGCTTTTTACCGGTAAAATATCTCTAGTAATCGCTTCTCCACATTAGAACGTTGACCCCGTTTTTTGTTTGCCATCTTCCTAACTCATGCAAAATAGGGGACAAATTATTGTTGACTCCTTCTTCCGGTATATGGCGGATACTGGAAAAAGTGGTGGTCAAATGTGTCCTTGAGGCCTGCAAAAAGCTTGGTTTATTTAAAACTAATGATGTATCTGGCCTAAAACGCCTGTAGAGTTTTGAGCAGCTGGAGCGATGATGGGCAGCCACAGTGGGGGAAATAGCACTTCTGCGACACCGCTGGCAGTGGTTACGCTTTGCGCCGCTAGCGTCGATTCGGGTTGGTAGTCTTGACGGTGGGTCTGAAGAAGTCCGCTGAGTATGATACATGTCCTAAACGTCCGTCGTAATGCCCACAATAAGGTAATTTCTGGGTGTTTGCACCGTTAATGCGTGGTCCGCCCAGATCTACGAGTCTCCCACTTCGATCTGACCCATTCATACGATGGACTTCGTAGAATGTCTGGCCAAATTATATGGCGGTGCGCCAGGCCTGCCGATGTCTAGACGGATGCCCTTAGGTGTCTTGATTTATGTTTAAGTGCGTAAGTGAGGTCCCTAGCATAACATTTTAGTGACTCTTTTGTCACTGTCTGTGAGCACATATAAAGCCTCTAACGTAGAATGGTCGATCAGGCGGCCGTTTATCATCTATCCTCATGACGACGACGCTTCATGACAGTTGCATATCCGTCAGCAAAGTTTGGATACGGACGATGACGATCCCATCTAAGACCCCGATACCTGAGGTCTTTCCTACCATCTTAACTTCAATGTTCGCCGAAGGCAGTTAAGGAGAAAGTGGTTGGGTTTTCTTAGTTGGCTTTTGTGGACTGTTCAGGATGACCGCCGCATACGTCTTCAGTTTCGTGCTCAGGTGAGGGCCGTGACGCCTCCAAACTGAGTACTTCAGCTGACTGAACGCCACACCGGCTGTCTTTGGCCATTCGGTTGACGATTTCGTCATCGGTCTTTATGCTTCCTGAAATTGGGCTCCGTAGGTGTGCCAATCTATTCACAGATACGATGTGAGTACGTTAGCATTTATGCTGAGTACGTTGTAGTCATCAGATGGGGCAGGCGGATAAAAGGCAATCTCCTCCATGTTGACAGTCAGTCGGACGTTGGTGTAGCCGAGGGCAGAGAAGTCCATGCTCTGTCGTATTTTTGCTTCCACCGCGAAAGCCTTCGAAGCTGCCCCGTCGTCCGTGACGCACGCCACTAGCCCATCGTCGAGCTGACGTTTCATCTGCATAAAACACTCCCGTCAGTCAACTTTCAGAATGATTATCCGAACCTTACCATTGTTGACTGTAATGAAGGCTGTATATGGGGGTGAGTTAGAGCTTGGTTTTCATTTCTTGACATCATTTGTAGCTGGTGGGCGGCAAATCTCATGCGGTTCTGCGGTTCCATTATGTTCTGCGGTTTCTTCGAAATCTGAATTGGCTTTCAGGTAGAGGTTCTTACTTCAAATGAAAATCAAAACAACTGAGTATGGCGCGGACGAGAATTTTGACTGCGAAGTTGAAGAAGATGTCTTTGTGATCATTGCATAGCTGCCCCTTCCCTTGCGATTGTATGGATGGCGAATGTATAGGACCTTAAAATCCTGGGGAGTTGACTCTACCTCCACATTTCTCGTAGGAGTGATGCGGGCTTGTTCACGGGTAATTGGTCGCCGTATTCGGAGATTTCGGCTGGAAGGGAGTTGATGCCCGGGGCTTTGCCGCTCAGCATCTGGGGTACGGCTTTTATCGTTTCTCACAGCGAGGGTGGACTCCAATTGATGACCTCGTCGGGTACGGCTAACTGAAACCGTCACAGAAGTGCTCAACCCAGAATTTACTATTTTTCTGTTAGGCGGATTGTTCAGTCGGAACTGAGCAGCGACTATAAATGGCCTTGATGGATGAGGAATTCTTCATAAAGTTACAGTCTGAATACCCTTGGATTCCTTCATTCCAGAGAATCATCTGAGCACATTGCATTTTCCTCTATTGTTGCTGCATCGGGATTTGACATCGGAATAGTTCGTTTTTGGACGCGGTTCCATGGTTGGTGCAGTTCATGGGAAGCTTAATCTTGATGAACAGATTATAGATTCTCTCGTCGTTGTCAAATTACTCCGGGTGCTAACGGCGTGTGTAACTGAGAAACTTCAGAGTTGTGGGATGGATGATGTTCGCATTCCAATCGGTTGCATCTCAGTAGTTGCATTTGCTTCCAGAGCTTGTAAATGTTGTCGAAGGAGATTAGAGAGACGGCTAGAATGGAGTCAACAGTCAGCTGTTTCTAAAGACACAGTGTTTAACTTACCTGGTGTTCACTTAACTTGCGGACGCCTGTGAAATTGCCTGTGTAGACTCGCCTTCGAGACGATATGACAGTGGTCGGTACCATACATCGTCTAGGTCACTAGCGCGTCACAAAGACCATGTCTCCCACTGAGAACGTAGTCTTTCAGACGTCTGAAGTGCGTGCAAGTATGGGCAACGACAGGCTGAAGGACTCCACCTAACTGTCTGTAGACTGTGGATCGTGTCGTATGGAAATGGTGGTGCTCGGAGTTTTACGGGTAAGGCGGCACGCCAGAAGTAAGCTGGCGAAATGTAACAAACCATAGGCATTGTTTGAGTTCCTGCCGAAAGTCTTATCGTACGCGGTCGGATGTGGTTTGGTGGCCCCACCTAAAGTAAACAAACCCCAGTCACCTCTAATACGGGACCGGTGGTAATAAGGGTTTTTACAGGTGGAGCCCAGGAGCGCACAGACGACGAGGTCAAGTAGTTGTATGCAAAAGAAAAGCTAGTGGGAGTGCGTGGTTGTACATTCAATGGTTGAGAAATAGTTGCGCTAACTCCTAACTATAACCCCTTGTCCTAAACCCCAACCACTAACCCTAACCTTTATCACTAACCCCAAACCCCTAGCCATAACCCCTAACTATAACCCCCTGTCCTAAACCCCAGCCGCTAACCCTAACCTTTATCACTAACCCCTAACCTCTAACCATGACCCGTTAGCCTAACTGCTAACCCCAACAGTATTGTGTCCATCAGATTGGGCTACCAAACCACATCTTACCTCTTACACTTTCGTCTGGCAACGGGAACGGGCGCGCCAGTTAATAGATAAATAAAAAGAAAAGTTTCGGAAAAATAACGAAATTTGGGTAATGACTATAGGTCATGGGAAGTAATTGTTGTTGGCAGTGTAATGTCTGCAACGGCCTAAAAATGGATACCAAGACAAAAACTCATATGACACGATCCACGGTCTACCGATAGTTAAGTGAGGTCCTTCACTCTACTATTGCCCAAGGATGCGTCCACGTTGTCCTCTTCCGGGTCGGAAGGCGGAAGAAGTTATTGATTAAGGGAAAGCTCCATTCGCTAAGACTTGCGGGAGGAGAAGGTCATTGATATAGCAACTGCCGATCTGTGTCTATGTTTGCATTGAAGTTATCAAGGACGACTAATCTGTCCGTCCTTGACACAGTCGCTAGGAGGACATGCAGGTCTTCGTAGACTTCGTCCACCACATCTTCGTAGCTGGTCTTTGGAGGTGCGTAGGCGCCGATGGCTGTCACAGATTTGTTCCCGCGGAGCGGGGCGAGGACAGGATCATGAGACGGACGTTGATAACCTGCGGTAATCAGGGCAGTCGTCAGTCGAAGTGTGATGGTCGACAACTCTAGGCCTCTTTAATCAAAAGTCATGATAGGCAGAGTAATTAGGCAATCTTTTTTGACCCTAGAGACCGTTAGAGCGGTCCAGCAGACAGAGACAGCACGCTTTGTCACGTGCCGTGTGCCAGTCGCTTTAGGTTGTCAGCCTTGGCACGACGTTCATGCTCCTGAAAGTCGTTCAACTGTGGCCAATCGAAGCAGACAGGAACATCGATTGGCATTAGAGTCTCAGCTAGCCAAAAACGGTCAAAGACGACTCCGGCATCCCGTTGCCTTGTCTTTGGGCGTCCACTGCAGAAGAAGGTGCAACCAGTACCTAACCCCCCCCACTTGTCTTTGTTTGGAGAGTGGGGTCTCGCTGAGAACTATGATATTCATCTTGTAGCACCCCAGTCTTCGGATAACCAGGGCTGTCCTCCTTTCTTGCCAGATGCCCGGTGGGCTATCTCAATGCGAAAGAACATTCCAGGCTTCCCAAGTGACACGGGCACTTCGGACCAGGAGCAAAAACAAACAAAGTGACTCCTTGTTTCTTGGACTAGAAATGTTTCTAAATTTTTTAAAGGCCCTTGATAAAAAAACGCCAAGTTAGTGGGCTAGAAGCTGGCGACTACACTGCATAGTCACTTTGAACATTCCCCTGAAAAATGTGGCCATTGTTGCAGGAAGGAAGTGGTGTGCGAGATTTCGTGAGGTGTCTGCGATGCAGCAGGCTTTGGTCTGACCATAAAACTCGCTTCCACATTCACAGTTGAGCATCATTGGGTTGTGAGATGAAATCTACTGTCCTAAGTTGCCATACATACCCTGACTGCGCTTTAGAAACAAAATCAAACATTTAAGGAATAAAGTCTGCTGTCTAACAGAAGAACTTATCTGGCTTTGAAATATGTACATTCATTAACAATAAATGTTTATTTTGTAGCATCCGGATTTCATTCAAGCTTTGGATGTGGATGAATATTGCTAATTGAAAAAATATATACGACCTCGAGCATAACTGAGAAGAAAAGGTGTTTGCCAAGAATACTGACAATAAAAAGCGCTTCATTTTATCCACAAGCACTCTCCATAGCAGCCTACGACCACACCCTTAATGTTGTTATATTGATTTCGCTGGTAACGGAACACGTTTTTTGTAGCAAAGGATGACTCCGGTAGGTCGTCTCGTGCCAGATCTGGGTGGATTTCCTAACAAAAGACACACCCGTTTGGGGGCGGAATAAGACTTCCAACTCCTCTTGAAAACATTCCTTTTCGGCTTAGACTCACCCGATTTTTAAAAATAAGCGACAGTTTGGTCGTCGTGAACGACAGCGTCCACCATGTACGTCACAGAGGGCTCTCAGGACTATGGATCGCGCGCGAATTTGGTTTATAGTGAGACAAACTTGCGTCGCATCTACACACACACACACGACAGTTCGACCGTCGTTGCCGACGATGTCCACCGTGTGCTCCAGTGAAAGGTGGGAGCAGGGACGGTGACTTGTGAGTGAATTGGTTTATAGTGATAGTAGATTTTCACAGCATCTACCGCACTCTCTCCTCCCCTCCCCTGGACCCGGTATCAAAACAAAGTCAAGAAGACCGGAGGCGGGAAAATGCGCAGAGGGATAGCACGGTCGAGCCCGCACCTCGGCGTTCCACTCCACAACCCCTGGACCACACAGCAGGCGACCAGGTTTTTAATCAACAACAACAAGGCGGGGTGGCAGGGGGCCCAATGTGTGCGGCATATGCCGACAATCGGCTCTGCTACCGCACCCTGAAATGTTGGTATTTGTTATGGGGCGCAAATCCGATAACGCCTCCTAGAATCCAATAAGGCCACCGTGTTGGTCCAGCGTATCTACCACATGGCCCTTTTGGGGGGCAAACGCACACTTTTTTCTCCCTCACCCATCTGGTTCCGATGGCAAGATAGTGCCAAGACCACCTGAGGCCGGCTCGGGAGCAGCGGCTAACGAGTACAGACAGCTCGTCTGCGCGTGTCACAGATGACCTAGGTCCCACGGCATGTAGCAGGCCTTCACGAGAGCCGATCGGATCTAATTTCTGTGGGGGCACCCTCGAGGTCACACTAAGGAGGATCCACTTAGCCTGACTCTCGGCCCTTCTCAGTACCGAATAACCTACAAGTTGGTAACCTGCAAAGCCATGACCCTGTGCGTGGCTTGATAAACCTAATCTCGTCAGCCTTATTACAGTAAACAGTGCGTTGATTTGTCGTGGGGATGGAGCTCCCAGCGTCGGCCTCACTCTCTCGTCTCTCTGCCATAATTAAGTGCGGTATCTTAGCTCTACAACTAACTGTGATTCAGTTGGGCGTAGTGACTGACGTGAAGGCCTACATCTGGGTGTGCCAATACACGCCCATGTACGGCAGTAGTTATGGTCTGGCACGGCTTCTGCTCAGCATGGTACATGTGGGCCAGTCTGCCCTCCGCTGTGTTCCAGGGTATCAGTAGCGCGACCCATTGTTGAGTGCACTCATATATATGTATGGAAAATGGTCATTTATTTTTTAGCTTTTATTTATTTATTTGCATTTTATATATTCTGGCACACCCATAAATTCGAATATATTTTACAGAAAACACTCACCAAAAATTCTCTTATGTGCTCAATTTATAGAAAATTACGTTTTTTCAAATTCTTTTATTCAGATAAAATGTTTCTCTCTTTTCCAAAGGTCTTTAGTTATGAGCTTCTTTAAGACAGTGCAATACCCATTGTAATAGCATTGTTTCTGTCCGTTTATTTATGCTTCTCATAGCGTGGTCCACACGCATTGTAGAATTGCGTGAACTCTATTTGGATTGTTCTCAGTGACATAGTAGAATGTATGATTTTGTCTACACGTAAAGTATGCAGGTCATAGACTAAAAAGATTAGGCGCAAATCTAACGGCAGGTCGGGTTTAAAACTTTTTCGGGAATCAAAAACATTTTTTAAACTGGAAAACACCCTTTGTTTGAGTATAATATTTGAACAAGCAAGGTTTTTCTGCGAAGATTTTGTGCATGTTTCCTATAAAACATATTTAAATTTATGAGGGCACGAAAAATCAATAAAAATGCATAATACTTAAGCAGTCATTTTTACCGAGTGCCGTTTTAGCAGGCTATCGAGACGAAGTGCATTCAGGCGCTTTTGGAATATCATAGGACGATGCAGCATGATAATTAATATCACAACCCAGCCTAGGTATTTTTTTATAGTCAAAAACGCATTTCAGGATCTTAGTTAACACCTCATGAGATTGGCCACTGATTGCGGGAACAGCGATCACGCAACTCTGATGACGGAAGCGAGGAATGTTGGAAAGTCAGTCGGTGAACTAGCCCTCCCTTCATCTTCTTCTGCTTTTTTGGAAAAGGATGAACACGATATATACAGACATGTGCGGTGAAAAGTTACCTACAAAGATAAAGGAGACTGGAAGGGCCATTTCTGAAATACTAGCCGTCGTCAGCCAGCCACGCTTATCTTTCAAGTTTGCAACCCCTTGGGACTCGAACCCACGCTCTGTTGGCCGGCAGTCCACAGCTCTAACCACTGGGCCACAGGCTCTTTGTCCTGTCGGTTGCGGTCGGTCATTCCATGAACTTGTGTTTGTCGGTAATCCTTCCCTGCGTATATCACTAGTCGGTGTGCGACTGCCTATGGGACTCTAGAGCGACCCCCTAAGCACAACGGGGCGAGTATGTCCTGTAACGCGATCGGTACTCGCCTTCCACTTCAGTTATACGTGTATTTGTGTAGAGCGAGGGGCTGCCTCCCATTCGTTTCTTTTAAAAATAGAAATTTCCCACGAGCCTTCTATCTTCTCCATAGAAATTTATCTCCATCTAAATGATGTGTTGTGTAATATAACAGTTTGACTGTCGATCCCGACGATGTCCACCGTTTGTCACACAGTAAGATGCAGCAGGCACGTTGACTTGCGCGTGAATTAGTTTATGGTGATAGTGGACTTTCACAGCACCTACCACACTCTCTTACATACTCGTTGTATGTAATAGAGTCCTGAGCAAGGCTGGATGAGGATGCTTTATGAACTTATAATGGCGTCCCCTCTGTCAAAAGGGCGTGGAATCCGGTTCTTGGCACGTGCGGACACAACAGTTTTGACGAAATTGTAGCTTTTATTTTTCCGACCAGAAAAATTGCTCTGCGCAACTTCATGGAGCAAACCTCGCTGGAAATCTGGCCTAAGAAGCAGAAATACATTTGTTTGTTTGGTCCTTTTTACTTTATATGTGTGCATCAATGGTCTATCAATTACTGTTTGCAAATTATTGTTTTGTTTCTCCTCAGTGGTCTTGGTAGCAAGGCGTGTTTTTCGCACTTCTGTAAGGTAGACAGGCACACGTAGGGCGTGAATCTGAACTGTCACTCCCGTGGGTTTGTCTGGGTTGCGTTCCTTTACGATCTGCTTGAAGGCCAGCGCTTGTCGAAGTGAAGTTATTGCGTCATTGCAGATTACAGTCTGGTAGGTGGGGACCATGGTTGATGTGGAATTATTTTCGTCGTCGGTGAGGGCTGCATACCCTACGATCACGTGCAAAGAGGCAGCTGTCTAGCATGCATTTTACTCAAAATACTGCTCCCCGAGAACACAGATGCTTAAACCTCGGCAGTAATGCTCTTTTGGCAGAATCAGTCGTAAACCCTTATGCAACATCTTGCATATAAAAAGCAAAATTTTCTGGGCTAAATATTTTCCTTTATTTGCGACTGCTCGTGGCATAAGCATCGAACGCAGTTGCGGAAGTATGCGTATGCATCTCACACGTCCTGAAGTACTAAAGTGCTCGTTGTGGGCGTTTGATATTGACGTCCTAAATTTACGTCAAAAAGGTGTTCGGTGGTTTGACAAAGTTATTAATGTTTTTCGCCAAAAGCCGGGTTCGTTCCCCGCAAAGTCCGCAAATAATATCCATTCAAACAGACCACGCAAAGAAATTGGGAACTTTTACTGATTTTCCTTGCAAAAGTCCTTGCGGTCGCTGCATCTGTCTGGGGTTCCTCTCTATATTAGTAGCATTTAATCCGTTTTGCCATCCTAGCCCGCCTCGTGTAAAATCTGTATGCCTTATAAATTTGCCTTGAAACATGAATATATGCGAACCTTTGCGTGCGGGCGCTAACGATACTTGTCATAAGAAATGCACTTTCTTACGATATTGTTTGGATTCCAGCCCTCTTTGAGGCTGACTGACGTGTTAGCGGTTGAAAGTCTAAAAGTTTTCCCTCCTTTTTGAATTTAATTTTAGTGGTTTGATCACAGCCACCGGTCACCCCTTCATCTGGCAGCTGGTGCCGGCTCGATTGTCGTGTGTCGTCTCTTGTTGGACGGCGGGGCCAATCCAAACGTTGTGGACAAACGTGGATACACCCCCCTCTCTTACGCCATCCGTAGCAACAACTCCACGCCAGCACTTATTGAGTTGATTCGCCAGTACGGTGGAAGACTACCAGCTTTCACGTCTGCTAAGGCGAAAGAAGCAAACGACGCGGCTAGACTCGGTCTCATCAGACGTCTACGCCTCTACAAGCTGGCTGGGATGACTCTCGAGGTTGGTCATTCGTAGATGTAGTACTACTGTGTGACTTAAAGGCCTAACTGGTTGTGCGCAAAGAGCGAAATTGGGTTATTATTGTGCATACTTTTTTATAAAACGACATGCCAGGAATTGGATGCCGAAGGCCGTGCTGCCCTTCACACAGCGGTGGTCTATCGTCAGTTGAATACAGTGCGTTACCTTATTGCACCTGCACGCGGCTCCTCCAGTACAAACCTCTACGAGTCATCGGAATTAGATACGTTTGAAGTAGACGGAGCTGAAGTGGACCCTCATCAGATGACAGGATACGGAACTACAGCCCTTGAAGAGGCAAAAAGGCGAAATCTGACTGAAATTATTCAGATCCTGGAGGCCTGCCAGTAAACTGCTCGAGACCAGATTCCAAAGCAAACCAAAAATCCACAGCGCCAAATGTCCCTTACAAACTGCATATGCTGTATGCATACACCGTCATTCTGACTGTTTTATATACAAAGTAACGACACGGTCACATTAAATCTTGTTTATATTTTATTTTCGTAGTGTTTTATGAAGCTATTTCTTCTACTTTGATTTATCATCCGGAATTCACTGTGCTTGTCTTATGTTTGTATGTTTTGCCTTCTTCCTGGTGCTAATTGACTACGCCGACATTTTTTCACGCAATATATTCTTCAGTAAGTGAATGATTCTATATGTTTGGCCTACAGGTGAAGCCAGCTCTCTTTAATCCCTTGAAACGGTGTGTAGGGCTTCAAATCATGCTTACATAGAGCTTCAACACTCGCAACTTCTTCACATTAACCATTGTGTTTTGGAAGAAATATATATGCCGGAGTACTTTCACAGATAGGTTTTTCTATATATGATGGGAATTGCCCACCTCCCTCAATAACCGTAACTTGCAGTTACAAAGCTGGCCCTGCTGGTATATGTCTCCGTTGTAAGAACTGGGCTAAATTGGGATGGAGCGAGGAGGCCATAGTCCGGCCCCACGGGTTGTTCATCTTCTGCATTTAACCCAACTGATTAATTATACTGAATGTCTTTTGCAGTGCGAATAGCGTGGGTATGTCGGAGTGCGATGGGTCAATAGCGCGAAGTTTTCCAAGTCGAAAGGCAGGGAAGGCAAAGCTATAGGACAAACTTTACTGAGGCGAAGGAGTGCACACTCAGTCCAGCGGGCAGTTTGAGCAAGCATTCTCCTCAGTCCAGTGACAGCCGTTGACGTATTTTAGCCTCGACTTGAGGCCATTGTGTACGTCCAGGCTTTGTCGGCCTGTGGCGAGTGAGCAGTGCAGCGTCGATTGGCTTCGAGTTCTCGCCACGTTGGTGTCATTACGCACAACATGAGTGATCGGCCGCGCCGACGACAGAGACGCACTGCCGCAGGCGCGCTCCGCGTCGGCCGAGCCATCAAAGCAATCATATAAGCAGAGCACTTTTAGTTATTTCTGTTTCGGAAGTCCATGCTTTATCTACTTACCTCAGTCCCACATGAAAATAAGTTTTCCTAAGTTAGACTTATTCGCATAAGCCATTTTATTGTGGGGCGTTTTTCAGACCAAGTTCCGTCTGGGTTGTCAGTCGAAAGACTCAAACAAAGAGTTAAAACAAGCATGTTTTAATAATGTTTTCTGTTCTGGTTGAAGCCGACGTACTAGTCGAAAAAAGCAATTGTTGTCAAACATTCGAAGCCTTAAATCATTTATTTTCCTTAGCTTAACACCCGCACAAGGACGTGAAACTTGCGAAGACTGATATTAAAATATAGAAGACGGGAATCAAACTGCTCCCTGGGCCGAATTTGCAAACGGCCGCTTAAGTGATATCCCCCGCAGAAACAACGCGTCATTGTACATGGCGATAGAAAATTACTGAATTTAAATTATTACATTCAACTATCACCCCAGTGGAACTGCACTTATCCACAGAAGCTGGAGTTAGTCACATTTCATTAGCAGACGGTTGTATGATCTATACAACAGCACTCAAAAACAAACTACCAATGGCACAAACTGCCCCCCACGAATTGGATACGACCGCTGCGCGAATATACTAAGCCGTGAAATGCTAGCAGAAAATCCAATGATTTTCCCTGCCTTTGCAACCAAAAACTTAACTTTAAGGATCAAGGGAAAATGAAAACTTCCACTGTCAATTGAAGAATTTACTGACACAAACAAGATACAACTGTGATATTTTAACTTTTCAACTATTGTTGGCCAGGCGTGACGGTTTGCCACGGCAAGGTAGCTGTCCCACAAACGTAGGACCTAAAGATCTCCAAACCTACTGCCGAAGTCCACCAGTCTTCACATAAAAACCTCATGTAGATTCACCTACCACACTGTCAGTTCCGTTCAGGAAAACCTCATCATACGCAATGACATGCTTCCCTCTGCTCATTCAAGTCCCCATGTAGAAACCATAGAACCAACCTGAGAATGAAAGAACTATTTGCACTTCTACAACGGGGCCTCCTTATATAAAACATGGGCATCCCCCGTATCAATGCAGCAGCAATAGTCAGTAAAATGATGAAATTTAAAACTTTTGTTAAAATTCATAATCCTTGCATCCCTTGCATAACGGAAGCACGAGTAGGTGGAGAAATAACGGACTATCGCTATCTATCGGGAACTTTCGTTTCTCCTAACAACCCCATCAAAATAAACGAAATAGGAGATGCATGACATGCATCAAAACCACACCTAGAAAAGGTGGTATTGACGTGGAATAGCGTGCTCTAAATGAGGCAGCACGAAGGTGCCAAATATTTTCGAAAAGCAGTCAGAGTCAAATCGCATAAAGGTTCGCCTAATGAGTTGCAATGTAGCCATGGCCGACTCAGCCGCCTTCGCGCATTTCAGTGTTGGTTTGAGTAAAGTTGCGATTCACACACTCAAGTTCTTCTGACTGTCAACTTGTTGCAGTGGTGTGCTGTGAAGAAAGTAAGTCCCGGAGCTGGAGGCTCTGCAGTCACCGAGTTGAAGGAAGTTTTACTTGCTTACATTGAAGGGCAAAAGCCAGCGCTTCGACCAGTCCTTGAACAGGCTTCGGAATCACTAGTTCCTGCAAATGCTTTACTTTCATGAAATATAAGGCGGAGGCTATGTAGAGTGAACAGCTTCGACAGATTGCTAGTGTCGATAGAGCAAACTGCATAACTTTCAGTCATTCAACTGATGTTAGATAGTAAATGTCTTTCTTTAGAAACAAACAAACGGCAATAATATATGCGACAAACCAAAACTGTGGATGCAATTTGCACTTAACGATGACGTTATACAGGACGAAATATATGACAATATAGCATCCTAACCGGTTGATAAATTGATAATAGCAGTGTTTGGTGAAGGCAATTTATCTCCAAAAGTGTAATGATTTTATTAAATTTTCACTGAGAAGACATCTTACATACACGACACCGTCCTAACAGGAATGAAGCTACGTAGGGTGGAAAGTTGTAATACAGTTCATTTCCACTTGATGTTAAACTGACGAACAAGGATAAAATTCAACTGAAAATTTATGCAAGAGACTAAGAAGCCCAACTAAAATAAAATATTTCAGTGATGTTTGAAGCCCAGCTTCTCCACGGCCTCTCTCAAATATAAACCCGATGACACTCCAAAGTAGGTGGGATCACAGTTAGCCGCCTGAAAGTCGGGGACACTGAGTGGTGACAAAGAAGTGCGCGGCACCTACAGACGGGCCGTCTGGTTATGTCGATCACTGCGCGCAAGTTCTCCCCGGCCTTCGTGACGCTGTTACGCCAAAGGAAACGGATGGGTTAAGGGAGGAGGAGGAGTATGATAGGTCCTGCACAAGTTTGCATTGTTAGAAACTAACCTACCCTCCTGCATTCACTCAGTGAGGTACACAGCGAACGGCTAGCGTCGTCGTTTGCGACAGTCAAACAGTCCTCACGCACAATTTTTCAGTTGAACCTTTTGTCTGAAGGCCCTGAGTAATTCTGTTGATCTCAGTTTCTCGCAATCTAGGATCTGTATATGATTCGACTGTCCTGTACACTATCAAGAAGCTCAAGAGCGAAAGCCTCATTCCCTTAATTAACTGACTTAAACTGACTATAAGCATCCACAAGAAGACAAATGCGACTAATTACAGTGAGTTATAACATCGGCCAGTTATGCCTAGAGTTCTGGGTCCATCTCTTAATACACAGTCATATCAGTTCGAACATCTTAAATCCTTGACTCAAAGAGGAAGGGTTTCAATTTCAACCAGCCAACATAAAACAGCAATCACTGCAGTTATGCAATGTAGTGATGACTGTTATTATTAATATTCTGAAAGCAGCTTTTTAACGTAAAACAACCTTTTACTTCTTTCACTGTTGAGTAGACTAAGGCTTAAACCCAGCAAATCCACGGTACCCACGTGCGAACAATTTGTAGAATTCCATTTGAGGTTAATTTCAAAGTTCTACTCGGACTAACAACGTCAAAGGCTTGCTTAGTAAACATAATCTAATACATTTGAATACCAGCCCTTTCATTTAACTCCTTGTTTCGCCTGATGTCAGGTTCAGGTCAGTCTGTAGTTGGATTTGGCGACGAATGACCAAGTGAGAGTGCCAGTTCTATCTAGTCGGCTTATACTAAGGAAGGTAATCCTCCTCTATACCATTCCCAAAAAAACTAGATTTTGCACAGTGTTCACTACTTCCCATCATTATAAAAAAACGGAATTGTATTGTATTGTATTGTATTTTAGGGTAATAGGCAATGCCCTTGATGACCCTATTGAAAACTGTACATAAAATATAAATTTTAAATGTACATCTTACTAAAATTTTGTCAGCAACATATTTGTTCACGGGAAACTTTCACAATGCGGGACTGCAAAGGGTGCGGCAGGCGTTCTTCTCAGTGTACACATGAAATTTTAAGTGCAGTTATATACAATCGGCATAAAGTGCAGTCATTTGCATAGTTTGAGAGGGGGCATCTCATTAAGAGTCAGGGGTGTGTTAAGTAGGGATGAAATCAAGAAATGAAATTTATGGCTGGCCGCAGGTAGTCCTGTTGTGAAAGTCGTCGTTTATCAAATACCAAACGATCCAGCTGCCTTTTGAATACAGCGACTGTATCAGATGTCACTATTTCACTTGGGAGTGAGTTCCATGGCCGAACAACACGCTGGCTGAAGGAAAACTTCCGATTGTCTAGGTGTGTACGCTCCCGCTTGACTTTGTAAGGGTGACCGCGCAGGTGACTCGTGGTCGTGAATTCAAAGAAGTCGTCAGTTTTGAGCGAACATTCATGCCCGTGGATAATGCGGAATGTCCATAACAGGTCACACCTCATTCTTCTATAGGATAGGGGGAACAAATTTAACTGGATCAGTCTTTCTGG